GGAACATATGAGCTGTAAAGATACAGATGTTGTCGAGAAAAATAAAAATGTGTTCAGGAAATATGCAAATGTGTAGAGAAAAATAGAAATGTGTTCAGGAAATAAATAAATGTGTATCCAAGAAATATTCAAATGTTTAGAGGAACATGAACAATGTGTCTGGGAAAGATATAGATAAATTCAGGAAAGATACCAATATATATTAGGTTGGTGCAAAAATAATGACGTAATAATGTCGTTTTTGACGTTAAAAATACGTCACAAAACGACATTATTACGTCATTATTTTTGCACCAACCTAATAGATAAACATTCAAATGTGTCGGGAGACTCAGAACTATGAGTAGACTTCTTTAGGTGTGTCTACAAACATTTTCGTATTTTGTGTTAATGTCTGCATTAATTTTCTTTATTGATGAATGAATACATAATATCAACAACATATGCCCATTTGTACATATGTGCATTGGCATTTTTTATTATATCACCACTAACCTCTCCTCGACGGCCGGATATGCAGCAATGCCCACTGAACTTTTCATTTACACCTCCCTCCTTTCGCGAATCATGTGAGTACCACCTGGTCGGGAATAACGCAACTTTGAGAAATATTTATTCCAGATATACGATCATGATTTCAGTTTCAAGATATTAGATTACGTATTTGTCCGCCAAACCAACTTTCCCGCCACTATTTTCACGAGGAAAAAAATGAATAAATAAATGAAAACGAATAATAAAAAAGTAACAAACAAGCAATCAAAAAACAAACAAACATAAGAACAGGCAATTGTCTATAAGCCAATATTCATATCACAATAAATATCGCTGGATTTTGTCACAAGAGAAATAGACTATCAAGAATGTACGGAGGCTTTTAAAGGAACACGTTTGAATCCAGGATGAAACAAAGGACTAAAAACATGTTTTAAACCAGGATGAAGCAAAGACTGGAAATGTTTGAAAACAGGATGAAAGAAGGTTTCATTAAACGTAAATAATTTGAAACCAGGATTTTATCCGAAAACATTTGAAAGAGGGAGAAAACAAAGGATGAAACGAAAAAGATTAAAAGTGAAATGAAACAACAGACTTTTCACGAAAATATCTGGAACTGGGAAGAAGCAAACCTCTTAAACGAAAATGTTTGAAACCAGGACGAAACAAATTCCCTAAATCAAAATCTTTGTAGCCGTGATGAAACAAAAGGCTTTAAGGAATAATGTTTTAAACCAGGGTGAATCAAATGAACTCAAGCGAAAAAGGCTGAAAACTGCATGAAGTAAAACACTTTAAACGAAAACATTTGATTAAGGGATGAAACAAAAGCCCTCAACTAGTATGAAGCAAAGAATTTTAAGCAAAAATGTTTGGAAACAGGATGACAGAAAAGCCTTTAAACGAAAAAAGTTTAATACATGGATGAAACAAAAGACTTAAAACGAAAACTGAATGAAGCAAAATCCTGTAAAGGAAAATATTTGAAACATGGATGAAGCAAGGACACTTAAAGTAAAGCTCTTAAGCAAAACAGAATTTTAATCCTGAATCTAAGTTTGTTGATTGGCAGTTTTTCTTGAAATCAGATCCTGCAAAGCCAACATCTCTAACGAAATTAACTGCAAATTTAGTCACTCAATACATCTCTTCATTGGATTTTACTAATCAGCAATGAGTGAGAATAAAACCTTTTGAGAAAACCGAGAGTGCACGACTCTACAAAAGGTGCATAAATAAATATTTTGATAAGCTATTAAGAATCTCAATTAGCATAAAAATAAAAATTTAAGCGATGATAACATAAAAATGCAATTCAAAGTTGAATGAGTCTGAATATCATGGAGGAACATGTGAGCATTGAGAAAGGACACATGTACTTATAATCAAAAGGAGACAGTGAAAACTTCTAGGACACAAAATGAGAAAAGAGGCTTGGAGATTTTGACGTACACAGGAAAGATCCTCACAAGTGGGCCAGAGGGAAACGAGGATAAAAAAATGGATGGCAGACCAGGAGCTGGAATTGTGGAAAAGCAAAACATTGCTAGAAGCTAAAAAGGATAGGAAGTTTCCGAGAGTCATCATCTCGCATGTAGGAAGATATCACTTAAAGGAAGAATCAGCGGTTTAAAAGATTTTATTACTAACATCTTGATAGAGAATTTTAATTTTGACATGAGGAATTTCACAACTTCGTTATTTACATTTTCAAGATAACATTTGACAATTAAGAATTTTAAGTGACTCTTTTAGCCTTAAAATCAAGGAGTACAAAATAGATTTTAAAATTGCGAAATGGCAAAAAATTCGATGAACCAAACTCAGAGCCAACGTGAATGCAATTTTTACGCTTCGTCTTAAAGGTCAATAAAGTGGACTAAATTTTTTATGCTTCTTAAATGTAGATAACGTGATGTAGCAAACTCAGAACTCATTGAGATAAAGGAGAAGCGTGATAACGTTGGTTTATCTTGTTGATATTTAAGGAGAGTGTAAAAATTTGGTTCACGTTATAGACATTTAAGGAGAAGTATAAAAAAAAGTTGATTCACGTTATCGACTTTTAAGGAGAAATGTAAAAAGGTTGATTCCCGTTATAGACATTTAAGGCGAAGTGTAAAAAGTAGTTCACGTTATCGACATTTATGAAGAAATGTAAAAAATTTGGTTCACGTTATAGACATTTAAGGCGAAGTGAAAAAGTTAGCTCACGTTATCGTAAGAAGTGTAAAAAGGTTGGTTTATGTTATAGACATTTAAGAAGTGTAAAAAGTTGATTCAAGTTATCGACTTTTAAAGAGAAATGTAAAAAAATGTTGGTTCACATTATAGACATTTAAGAAGAAGCATAATATGGTTTGTACATACAATCGACTTTTACGAAGAAGCTTAATTAAGGTTGGTTTTCGTTATCGACTTTTAAGAAAAAGCATACAATGTTTGGTTCACGGCATCGAAATTTAAGAAAGGCGCACTAAGACTGATTCACGTTATCAATTTCTAAGAAGAAGCAAAATAAGGTTGGTTCACGTTATTGACTTTTGAGAAGAAGCCTAAAAGTGGTGGTTCACGTTATTGACTTTTGAGAAGAAGCCTAAAAGGGGTGGTTCACGTTATTGACTTTTGAGAAGAAGCCTAAAAGGGGTGGTTCACGTTATTGACTTTTGAGAAGAAGCCTAAAAGGGGTGGTTCACGTTATTGACTTTTGAGAAGAAGCCTAAAAGGGGTGGTTCACGTTATTGACTTTTGAGAAGAAGCCTAAAATGTGTGGTTCACGTTATCGACATGTAATATTTTTATCGCTATTTACAAATGGCTGAAAAAATGTTAACATTTCGGGAAAAATATCCGTAAGGATTGAATTATTCATTTTGTCCCTCTTCTCAACCCGCCTTAACTTGTCCGCTATAATATGACACTAACGATGTTGCGATATGATTGATCGGGGCTGAAACGTGGTCTCTAATCCTAGTGTCTTTCATTTGACGTTGTAATATAGAAACCAGATAGAGATGATTGTTACATATATATCCATCTTAAAAAAATGAAACAATTTATTAATGTATCTGGCAAAAAGTTTCTCAAGTTTCCGGGTTTGCGCAGAACATAGAAAACAAAGAGTTCAAAAAAAAAAAAAAAGGCAACATATATGGATTTTTTCACTGAAGTTTTGTGTCTAATGTATTGATTTTTATTACTGGCCAATTTATTTTTCTAACTTATCGTTATTTTATGATTTTATATTTAATTATCTTTATTATATATTTTTAAAAATTTCACTCCAAGCAAGGCAATAAAGCCACTATAACTCAAGGAGGTTACTAAGAATGAAAGAATATGAGAAAAATTAAAAAAAAAAACTAATAAGGAGAGATAACAGTAAAAGAACAGGAATTAAAAAGACAGATCATAACGATTGACATTGCATTTATTTTTTCGAAGATCAAAGTTGACTGAAAACAAGAGACCGAAAGAGAGTTCTACAGACGAGGGAAGAAACTCCTAGCATAGAACTTGCAATTACATCCAGCCATTTCAAGTGTAAAATGATGTGAACTTGTCGCCAATCTAATAGTATGTTTAAATTCATGAAGTCTAGGTGCCATAGAGGAAAGTTCATTAGAACAATTACAATGAAAGTATTTTAGAAAAGACATAGAGAAGCTACGTTTACAGCGTTTGGAAAGTGACTGAAGCCGAAATGCCAGGTCAGGACAATTAACATTGCATATTCTTTGTATTTTGTGCTAGATGAGTGTTTGTGTTTCTCTAGAAATGAGTCAAAACAAAAAAGAAAATAAAACATTAAATAAAAACAATCACAAAAAACTATCATCAACCGAGATAGGGTTTATTGGAGGCTTTACTGAAACTGCATAACCTGCACGCTCTCTGACACATATATTCCTAAAGAATTAATGGATTTATCAGAATTTTTATTATTTCAAAACGTTATTAAAATGGATACTTGTATTTGGAACGGACCATTTTATTTAAGAGTGTGTATTAATTCTATCGGATTCGAAAAATCTTAGTAAAGAAAAATGCGTCTCTTTTTAGAGGAGACCATCGTTTGATCCAGTGTGCTTCGTCGCTCGGTCGTGGAAAACGACTCTATTTTCCATTTTTAAGAAAAGTACATCCTCATCACTCAAATTATTTTTCTCAAAAGCCTGTATCTGCTCAGTTTCGTATCTGAAACGTAAACAAAGCAATTTCTAAAGAATTTATGGTTTTATTTTTAATCCGACATTTTCATCTTTTATTGATTGATTCGTTTTTTTTACGGCTTATCAACCCTTTACAGGTTATTTAAAGCCAGAAAATATTTTCAGATTGTAAGAATTGGTTTTTTTTGCAGATAATCATGGTTTAGTGATACGAGTCTTACTAATTAAACTATAGAAAGGGGAATAGTTGGAAGCCCAACGAAAATTTGAACTCGACACGCGGATTGACAATTCCGAGTCACTATCCATTACACCAGCCACACATCCAAGCTTACAGCACCTGGTATTCCCAAGCGGTTACCCATGTAGGTACTGACCAGGTTTGAATTTGCTTAACCTCAGTGATTGAACGAGAACCGGTGTTTCACCGTGAAACGTTCATAAGCCTAGTCATTTTTATTACTTCAAACATTGTTTTAGTGGATAGACCGTAGTTGAAATAGACTACCCCATATATATATATATATATATATATATATATATATATATATATATATATATATATATATATATATATATATATATATATATATATATATATATATATATATATATATATATATATATATATATATATATATATATATATATATATATATATATTAAGAAAGTTCATTCAGAGACAGGTGTTCACGGGTAAGCAAACATAAGACACAGTGGATATATATATAAGATCTAAAATATTAAAACGACTAGCCTTTTCCGCTACTAGATTTTCTCAGGAAGAGAAAAGATTAATTGTTTTTCTATCACTTTTCGTGTTAGTGGGAAGAAAGGTGTAAAGTAAAAGTAGAGAAATCCTTGATGATTACGTATTTATGCAGGAAAAACAACGCCTTCCATCTTATTCTCGCAAGGAACTGTTCAATTTTGTATAATAATAGTAGCCTATATTCAAGTCTCACAGGGTTGTACAGATATGATTAAAAAAATTTTCATTTTAAAACCAAAACTACCGCCTTGTGATAGATGACTTGTTTTGAAAAAAAGATACGCTTGTTATAATCTATAAGATAACGTTCAGAAAAGTACATAGCGGGTTTCAAAAACAACTAAAAATTGAGTTGAAAAAATTAAGAATATCTCGAAAATACTAGTTAAAGGCGATAAAGCCGGATACATCTATATGATGAGTCCGAAAGTGTATGGGAAAAAGTGAAGAGGTCACCAAATTTTAAAAGAAAGCACAGAATCAATATATCGAAAAAATACATGAGGAGGCAGAAATATCATTCCTCACGACTTCAGTCCACTTAATGGAGCCACTGGGGTCCTGGCCGGATTTCTTTGCTCACACTGCTTTTTTTTAGTGTTGTTGGTGTAGGAGTTGGTGCCGGATTCTTCCCTGGGACACCACATGACCAACCATGGGGACAGCTGTTACAGTTTCTTTTGTGTATATTATGTAACTAGTGAGTTATTCAAAATGACTTAACTCCCTTTATAGTCCACCAATAGAAGGTTAACCAATCAGAAGCCGCAGAACATTGTATCCGTCGTGTATAAAGGCGGCCATTTTTGTTTACCCTACCCGAATGACCAGTGCCAACTTGTCAGGCGAAGATGACAGAAGGAAGTACTATGCTCTGCTACTTTGCTGCGATATACACTGCTAACCTGAACTACGCTTTCCTACTGTCTCTGAAATATTCACTGCTAACATCTGGATTCTATACTCGAAGACGACCGTCAAAATGTCTAACAACAGCGACCTTCAAAGATGAAATATATAGAACTGCTGTCACAGGTAAGTACTGTCGGGGTCATTGTCACTATTTCGGGTCGTTGTCATTATCACAACAAAGTTGCTGATAGTAATGCCCGTTTTGTTATCGCGGAGACCTCCCCGGCCTGTCCATAACTGACGAAAAACAAAACAAATGGTTCTCGTTGATGTACAAGGGCACGCCGTGTAAGGTAAACCCGGTCTTCCGAGTGCCCACGTATTCGGTCTGCAACCTCACCGATTTCGTGGTGAGGATGTTCCGGTCAAAGACTTGGTTACTTCCTCTGTCGTCACTAGTATGTCCTACGTAGCGTTAGTTCGACGTTTGGGTTCAAAATTGAGGCTCTTTAGGGTCTCCTCCATTCCATCCCTGCTGACTCCGATCAACTTTTTAGACTTTACGCCCGTTGTCAGCAGGGATATGGTGCATGTTGTGACTGCCTCCATTACAGAAGGCGCAGCCAAAAGTTCATTGCCTGAAATAGAGTCTTTATACTGCTTCTTCAGGCTGTCATAATATTCGGCCCTTTCTTTTTTAGCCTGTTTGTCGCCCATGTCGATGGACTTGCGGTTGTGGGTGTGGTTCCAAATGCTGAGGAGACTGAGACATTTTGGCCGGAGCCACACCAAATTGCACACACACACACACACACACACACACACACACACAGTTCGCAATACAAAAACAATCACATACACTTGGTAAAAAGACTAAACGATACAAATAAAAAACCTAAGAAAAAAATCAAAAGCCAAATTACAACGGGAAAAAGAAATAAATAAAAAAGGGGACACATGAAAAAAAATGAAGTTTTAAAAGTAAAGTTTTGCTTAAGAAATTAAAGAAAACAAAATGGCCGAAATAAGACAGAAAAATAAATTAAAAATTGAATAATGATGAAATGAAAAAGAATAGTTAAACAAAAAAAATTGACTTACAGAAAAAAGGATAAACAAAATTCTTTTGTAATATTTTATATCTTAACTAGCTCTACAGTTTCGATTTTTTTGAATTGTCTATTGAGTATATTTAAAAAAAAATAT